GCTTTAGCAGTGCACACATCAAATTGCTTGCATTTCGATGCTTTAAACAGTTTCACACTAGTTTTTCTTTAAAATATATCTTTCAAGTTTTAATTTTCGCTTTCATTGAAAATTACTGAAAAATTTATCGAGACCAAATAATCAAACTACTTTTCATTATCCAATTTTAAACTCTAAAAGTAAAAACGTTGAAAGAGAACTGCTCCCCTGAACGTATTTTGCCGCCTTTATTTTGGATCTCTAAATATTTTATCTACGGAAAAAACCAACAGTCATTATTATCAATCGTTATACATTTAGGAATAGTTGCACAGCATAAGCAATCAATATATTGATCGATTACAGCAACTGACGACATGACACGATTGTACAGACACCTATTGTCCGATTATGAACGAGAAGTACGACCAGCTATACGATATGATCGTACAATCAATATTACCTTTGTGTTTTCGCTAAAACAAATTATTGATGTGGTAGGCCAAGCAATTTTCAATTGATTTTTGATTTTGGACGTGATTTGGTATTCATTGCTTTATTAAGGATGAGCGCAATCAAATTCTGACGACAAGCGCATGGGTTCGTCAGAACTGGTTCGACTACAAACTGGTTTGGGATCCGAGGAAGTTTGGTAATCTGAGAAAAATACACATACCTCATGAGAAAATCTGGCTTCCCGATGTTATACTGTACAATAAGTAAGTATTCTCTAAATCAATCAATATCTATATTTTGAACAAGACTTTTGATCAATAACAGTGCTTTGTCTTCATACGCAATATATCTTTTCTACATGAAACTCGGTAGACCACACTAGTCTACCGCTACGGCCCAGCAAGCCGTCAGTGCAGGAAATGCTTCGTCAACGCGAGGACGTCATCCTGAAAACATACGTCCATCATCGCACGTCATCGGCATGAATCGGACTTCAAAGAGAGCAATTTTATGGCTTCAAACGGAATTAGAGAGATTTGTAGAGAAGAACGATGAAGCCACAAATAATTGGCTAAAAGATGGTTTTCGCACAAACCCTGAAGAACTTGCGACTATTTTTCGATTTTAAGTATAATTTGAATTGATGGTGTAAGTGAATGAATGAAAAAATGAACGAATGAACGAACGAATGGATGAATGATTGAACGAATGAATGAATGAATGAGTGAATGGATGAATGAACGAACGAATGATGAATGAATGAAAAAATGAACGAATGAACGAACGAATGGATGAATGATTGAATGAATGAATGAATGAATGAGTGAATGGATGAATGAATGAACGAATGATGGGTGGAATGAATGAATGGATGAATGGATGGATGGATGAGTGAATGAATGAAATGAAATGTAAATGAAATCTTCCTTCTCCTTTTTTGTAAGCTTTATTATGTCAAAATTTAAATAAAAGAATGTTAAATTATTTTGTGATTTTATAATATCTTAACTTTTTGTTATAAACCTCAATTAATTATTTTATTTTTAGCGCTGACTCGCAATACACAAAGTCTGTAATGTCGACTGATATAGTAGTTGACTATCTTGGTAATGTCACTTGGAATGCAGCCGGAATATACAAGTAAATCCTTTTTTAACGCAAGAAGATCAATCAATAATCGATTAATCCAGATCGTCATGTCCTCTCGATGTCAAAAATTACCCATTCGATAGACAAACTTGCACTTTAAGCTATGCAAGTTGGGCTTATGACGGTTCGAAGATCGATTTGTTGCTCAATTCGGATATGGGTAGGGTCTATGAATGCAATCTTTAACACCTTTATGACCTATACGTTCACAGGAGATCAGAGCAATTACATGATGAGCACTGAGTGGGACCTGCTACGGATACGGTAATTTTTGTAGTATTTCTTTGCTGATTTGTAAATTAATGAGCAGTAAGAACTCTAAATAACGGGTAAACGACCTTTGGAAATCTAATAAAGCTGAACTTAACCTTCTGCTTTTATTTAAAAATCTTCCAATCACAAAGTTTATTTTCGAATTTGATTTATGAATATTTCTGAATATTTTAGAGCAGAGAAAAACTCCGTGATCTACAGTTGTTGCCCTGATGCGCCAT